ATGGTGGTTGAGACTGGGTATGGTGGCACGCGCCTGCAATCCCAAGCACTTGGGAGGCTGCAAACATGAGAATCACTATGAGTCCAATCACTGAGTGAGACCCTGTAGACCCTGTACTAAATGCATAGAAAGAGTCAGCTTAAACTGTTTAGTAAATAGACGCGTTGTCATCAGGGCCCTGTTCCACGCATGTAGAGAGCAGAGACAGAACAGAGCTGCTGTGATGGTCTCCAAGGCCCTGGGACTTTCCGAATGGGGAAGAAGCGTTGGCTTTGCAGAGTCACCAGCTGCAGTAAGCCCCAGCAAGTCAGCCGGGCCAGTGCAGCCAGGCCCTGACTTCTCTTGGGCTCCCGAGTCCTGCTGGCACCTGTTCCAAGAGAAAGCCGCCGCTGCTTCACAGTTATCTTGGTGCGTCTTCTGAGAGCACCCTGCTGCACCTGCACATCTGTGCTGTGGACACAGCTGCTTTTTTTTAACCCCATAAGCTAGTGTCTTCTCGTTTCCCCTTTTCCTCTGCGTCCTCCTCCGTCCCCTTAGCCTTCCTAGGGTTGAGCCTGGCCGTGGAGTAGGCTTTAGTTTAAAGCAATGCTGTGGCCGGATCGCTTGGTTCTCAAGACCACTGATGCCTTCTCCACATCAGCAATAAAGCCTGTTGCCTTTTTACCATCTGCAGATTCCTTTGAGAACTCTTCCTTCGCATGCACAGCTTGGCTGAACGTTCAGCCAAGAGGCCTGGCTTTGGGCTTGTCTCGGCTTTTGAGGCGCCTTTCCTCCTAGCTCAGTCCTTCCAAGCTCTTGATCTAAAGTGAGAGCCATCAGATTTCTCCTTTAACTTGCATAGCTAGAGGCCCTTGTAGGGTTGTTTAATCAGCTTTGTTTCACTGTGTCTCAGGGAACAGAGGCCCCAGACAGGGAGAGACGGAGGATGGCCAGTAGGGGGAGCAGTGAGGACACACAGGACAGAGACGGCTGCCTTCAGCTCTGTTCTCTGGGGCATAGGGCGGGGTTGAGATGACCTTGGGACTCAATAGTTACATTCATTGTGATCATTATAGTGGTAAATGTATGTCACAATCCTCAAGGTTATATGCCACCTGAACAGGTTCATATCTTTGTACATGTTAACTTACCAAAAGGCTTTTTCTAGTCACTTTTTGTGGAGGCTTTTTTTTTTTTACACTTTTATATTTTTAAAATGTAAAACTTGTGGGCCGGGGAGATGGCTCAGTTGAATAATCACTTGCCTAGCAAGTGCAAGAGCCTGAGTTCAATCCCCGGTTCCACAAAAACAAACAAAACAAAAAACTTGTACATAATGATGGGGTGCCGTAAGCTATTCAGACAATGGACGTTTTGTGTAATATTCAGCCCTGGCTGACTGCCTATCTCCTCAAACAGTCAGCAGGTCGTAATATCTTCTAGCTTCCTTTTTTAAAAAGTATACAGCTCATGATCATTATTTAGAGTCGCCATCCTATTTTTTTTCCTTTTTAAGTCACAAAAGTATGCTTTAATGCAAAGAACTTAGAAAATACAAAAAAGCAGAACTACTCCCACTTTTTAAAAAGAGTTTCAGACAATTTCTTCTTTAGCAAATGACAGTCTGGGAGAATGAAGTAGAATGATTGAAATATTGTTCCGCTAAACATAGTGAATGCGTCAACAGAGATTTTTCTAACAGTATGAACACCTTCCCCAGCCCCTCCTGTGAAAGGACAGGAGCATAGATGGGTGAGCTGCGTATAGAAATTTGACAGAAAGCTACAAAGCCTTCAAACTAAAGGCAGTGAATTCTCCATTTCTTACTAGAGGATTTATTTAAGATGCATATTAAGTACTTCCTCCAAAGATGGTTTTGTTAGTATCCTGGTCATTTTGTTTATGTAAGGGTTACATGGTATTCTCATTGAAATATAAAAAGCAAGTCTTATCTAAGGAAAACAATACATTGTGTATATTTTTGTTCATCTAGGAAGTAGAAAACAGAAGTATATGCTTGCCTGTAAGTTACAGATGTCAGCTCCCACTAATGTAAGAATAAAACTGAATTTTTGTATACATTTCAAAAAAAAGAGCATAGATGTTATGCTGAAAGCATGAAAGACCATAACTTATTTTTCACCAAACTGAAAATATTTTCCCTTTGTTTGGTATGTGTGTGTCTGTCTGTCTGTCTGTCTGTGTCTGGTAGCAGCGTTGAGCTCAGGGCTTTCGCACTGAGCTAAACCCCCAGCCCTTTGAGTTTATTATTTTGAGACAGTGTTTCACTAAGCTGTTAAACTGCCCCAGCTGGTCTTGATCTTGCAACCCTCCTGACTCAGTCTCCCATAGTACTGAGATTACAGGCAAACGTCACCATGCCCAATTTTGTGTTGCTTTTTTTTTTCCATAATTTTATTGAAAAACAAATAGCAATGAAACAGTTTCAAACCAAATTGGTAGGACAGTTTCAATAATTAACACATTGCATACATTCTTCCTAGTGGTTAATTGCTGTACAA